GAGGGAGAGGAGAGAGACGGAGAGATGGGGAGAGAGTGAGTGGAAAAGGTGGGAAGATTTAGTTGAGGGTATAATAGTCTGATAAAATATTTAAATAATAAATTTTGTCCTTTATGCAAAACTTTATAATTATGAGGGGGTTTAGAAAGTATAATTTTTTTCTTAATCCTTTTAACAATGAAAGGAAGGAAAAGGGGTTTATAGCCAAATTTCCCATTTTAGAAAACCAAAATAGATACCAAACGAGTTTTTATTTACAGTTTTTAAAAATTTTATAAATATAAATGGAAAATTGTAAACATAAACGTTACTAAACATGCCCTTACTGTTTTTTGTTTTTGTTTTCAAAAAATATGTAAACTCCAATCAAAAACATCTTTGACAAATGTTTTTCGTTTCCAAAATATGTAAATAATTTTCAACTTGTTTTAAAAACAAGTTTGTATTCTCTCTTCCCTTCTCCCTCCCCCACTCTTCCCTGCCGGCCACCACCTCCGACCACTCCCTCCTAGTGGCTACTACTTCTGACCACCCGCAACCGTCACTTACCACTTGTGGCAACTCCCTATGCATCAGCCACGTTTTTTTGTTTTTGTTTTGAACAAAATAAAAATAGACATGTCGCCTTTGTGAAAACAAAAAAATGGTAAATTGCTATCGTTACCAAAAAAAATTCAGCAAGTATAATATGAAGTTCTTTATCTCAGTTCTGTAAGTTTTACTCTGCCAAATAGAGTTCCTTGCATTAATTCCCGTGCACTTGTTTCTGGAGAACTGTTTGATTCAATTATAGTAACTATCAATTGTGGTTGTATGCATTAGGTGTTCATTGTGTATTGTACTGCAGTACATTACATTCTCATGATGTATAAGTCAAAGAGTCATTAATCATTAAACCTATTTCTCTGACATTTTATTGGCAAGCACTTTAATTTGACTTCATTTTTCCTCGTGCCTTGTTGGTGCCCTGCAGGACTTCAGTGCTTGAGAAAGCCTCTAAATCAGTTTGGGATTTGATTCTGGACAACAATGGGCTGGGGAAGGAAATAAGTGAAACAGTTGAAAGGGTATTCTGTCGATTAAGTGGCTGTGAGCCTCCTTTGTTTCCTCTAAATGTTGAAACCCAATCAGAGAAAGAGAAAGAGAACGAGAAAGGAAAAGGGAAAGAGAAAGAGAAAGAAAATGGGAAGGAGAATTTGGTCTCTCCATTAAAGAAAAGAAAATTCGACGAGATGAGCTTTGAAGAGGGAGCATAAGAAGGTGCAAATGGAAGTAGCAAACCTCCAGCCGTGCCAGAAGATTCTAGTAAAGTGCCTCAGCCAAGTGTATGACAACATAAGCCCAGCCTTCCATGAGCTTAGTGATTTTGATGAGAGCCAAAAAGTTGGGGACCTGCTTACAAGTGAGCTTGGTTGGCAGCTGAAGTTTATGAACTTTATCTTCTATAACCTCTTTGTTGGATGCATTAAACTGATTACAGCAATACAAGGTGCTTTGTCTTTTTTTGGGTTGCTTCAAGGACTTCATCGATGCTTGGAGTTCCCAGCAGAGAGTATTTACAATCTTGATTGTCTTCGTGCCTTTTTTGTGTCAGAAGTGGTGTTTACTCAAGACCCTAGGATCAATTCAACCCCAAGGTTTGGGGTGGCCTCAGTTTACTCAAGACCCTGGGATCAATTTTGGGTGTAGGAATAGCTTGTGTTATTCACCCATACAACTTCTAATGAAACTAACATTTTGTCAGATCAACTGTTATACTTTAGTTTATCAAGCTTGTTATACACTCCAAATGTTACTCGATCAGATATTTGTAGGTGCCTAATCTATAATCTTAATATAAAATTTCTCAGGTGTTCTTCTTTCCCCCCTTTAAGCTAATTGCTAGTGGCAAAACTCGAATTGATTGTCATTAAGGGATTGATATTAATTTCTGATCAATGTGAAAGCATGAGGGACATTCAATCCTACCACTGGCTTGGTGAAAAGCTAGTCCTACCACAAGTTCTCGAGGGCTGTAAGAACAGCGACTCTTACGCAAGGTTTGATTTCATCCTGCTTCTAATGCATGACCCAACCATATAGTTGTTTCAGTGGATCTTGGAGATTAGAATGAGATTTAGCATACCTTTACACATAGTGAACTCTGTAGTTTTAACTTGCACACGTTTCTGAAACTCTATAGCTCAGGCTGATTCGACTGTTAAAGCAGCACAAACTTTACACAAACATTGCCAACGCTACAAGTCTTGTGTAGTCTATCTCTCTCTGCATCATGGGTTGTATCCTTTTATATTTGTTCCCTGAAACGCAAAATCTGATCGTCTATACTGCAACAAGACTTCTTGCTCTCTGCTAAGGTTTGAAAGGAGACATCAATGGCTTCCTGATCATCAGCCTGTGGGGATTTGCACAATTGTTGCTTTCAATAGGAGTATGTCAAGTTCTCTACTTCAAGTCGTTTTGCCCCATCTCTCTCTCTCTGTGCAGCCCTTGAGGAGAGCTTACAGCAAGGGTGATGCCTTTCGCATCGAGCTCTCAAGTTTCAATGGTTTTTACAATGTATCAGTTCTTCTCAGGTGAGTGCCCTGCCTGATTTGTGGAATGTCTTCCATGATTTGAAATATGTTTTCTTGTCATTTGTTGACAAACATATCTGTGTGGTACTTATTTTCTTCATATCTTGCTGACTTTTAATCAATCTGTCATTTGTAAATGGATGTGATCAGCTGGTACATTGAAAGTACAGTTTAAAAGAGCATTTCATTGATTTAAACTTCACTGCATAATGTAGAAACACGAGTCTTTGATTCATTGAGCTTGATCATAGTTTTGGTTTTTTTTTTTTTTTATCCTCTTGTTTTTCTTTTTCTTTTTTTTCATATTACAAGAGTATCACCGGATCTGCGTAGAATATCGGCATCAGTTTATGGAATTATCTAATGTGATGGGTTTTTTAGATTGTTAAATTTTACGACACGAATGACTTTCAAATTTATGTTTACTAAAACTCGAGCAGTGGCACTTTGACTCAATACACTTCACCAAAACTACCAACCGTTCAGAAATTCGATGGCTAATGAATTTGATGAATTAATGGTTGTGTCAATGAAGTGTAAAAGCAACAAGCAGTAACAAGAAGTCTCCAGCCCTAATTTCGCATATAAGCTTTCTGCATTGGTAGCCATATGTAGAATTGTTGTTTACAAGTCAATACATCCATTATTAACCTCTCTTCTGGATGCAAGTAACTGTTTTGCTTCAGATGAGACTTGGGCTATCACTTTTGTTAGGATGAGTTTCTAACAAGCGAGCACTAATCAAACTCTAGTTAAAGTGTGTTTAAGCTTGATTGCTTTCCATAACAAGCCGAGCTCTTAAGCTTGTTATCTTGAACAAGTTTTTAACTAGTCCAACACAATTCAAGTTCAAATAGCTTGGTTTTCTTTTTTGCCCCCCTAGGCATTCAAGACAGCGGACAAAGCTGTTGAGGGCACTTAGGATGACTAGTTTCTTTGAGATCATTAAATATGTACACTTAATTACAGTTCAAATTTGTCAGAGTGAAAAACAGAACATCTAAATAAAAGTTGTTTCAAGAAGGATAATTCATCAAGCCACAAACATTGATTCGATTGAATATTGGAGGGCTCATTGTTGAAATGAAGTGCACATAGATTTCAAATTTATGTTTACTAAAACTCGAGCAGTGACACTTTGACTCAATACACTTCACCAAAACTACCAACCGTTCAGAAATTCAATGGCTAATGAATTTGATGAATTAATGGTTGTGTCAATGAAGTGTAAAAGCAACAAGCAGTAACAAGAAGTCTCCAGCCCTAGTTTCGCATATAAGCTTTCTGCATTGGTAGCCATATGTAGAATTGTTGTTTACAAGTCAATACATCCATTATTAACCTCTCTTCTGGATGCAAGTAACTGTTTTGCTTCAGATGAGACTTGGGCTATCACTTTTGTTAGGATGAGTTTCTAACAAGCGGAGCACTAGTCAAACTCTAGTTAAAGTGTGCTTAAGCTTGATTGCTTTCCATAACAAGCCGAGCTCTTAAGCTTGTTATCTTGAACAAGTTTTTAACTAGTCCAACACAATTCAAGTTCAAATAGCTTGGTTTCTTTTTTGCCCCCCTAGGCATTCAAGACAGCGGACAAAGCTGTTGAGGGCACTTAGGATGACTAGTTTCTTTGAGATCATTAAATATGTACACTTAATTACAGTTCAAATTTGTCAGAGTGAAAAACAGAACATCTAAATAAAAGTTGTTTCAAGAAGGATAATTCATCAAGCCACAAACATTGATTCGATTGAATATTGGAGGGCTCATTGTTGAAATGAAGTGCACATAGAGTACAACGTTTTAAACATCACAATTACACACACAAATCTAAGCTCTATCATAAAATGTGCACTGTGAAAATCAATTGTAGCCATTGTGTGCTGGTGAAAAAAAAGAGTCAATTTTAGCCATTGTAGAAATCATTTTTGTTTGTCAAATCTTGGTTTTGACCATATGTTTTTCCGACAGCCAAGGTTAATAATGTTTAGACAATTTTGTTGTTAGATATTTAATTTGAAGAAACAAGAAACTATACGAAATTGAAATCTCAATAACACAAAGTATACCTGCACACACAGAATTTCATAGAAACAATCACAAATGAGAGACAAAGGGTGAGTGGGGCTCACAACAAAACAATTTCACAAAAAGTCACAGAATAGAGACAATGGAAGGGCGGGTGGTTTTTTGCTTGTGTTTAAGCAGATATGGGAGTTTGAAACATATTTAAAAACTTGATAATAGGGAGATAATCAAAATATCCCTCTTCCCCTATAGAAAATGATCAACAAACTCTGAAATCTTTCTTCTAAGATAACCAAGAATGGAAACTTAATATAAAAAAAAAAAAAAAACTGAAACCCTATTCACTAGATTAAAATTGGGGGATTATTTTCATTGCCTAAAAAAAAAAAAAAAAAAAAAAAAAAAAAAAAAAAAACTGAAACCCTATTCACTAGATAAAATTGGGGGATTATTTTCATTGCCTATATACAAAATGTGTACTCATGAAACAAACAAGTGATGGTGTAATAACATTAGCTCACACATCCCCTTGCTACATCCACGACTTTCCTCATTTTTGCCACCACATCACGCCTATTGGTGGACCCCGTGGCCAGTGTCAACAAATCCATAATCATTCACCTCGGGATGATAGAAATCGTACGGATACGATGAATTGTCCCTCGGAAGATGCATCATATGGCTCTCGTCAGAAACTCGTGGAGCCAAGCAACAAATGGGTTGTGGGTAGCATAGCCCGCCATCTACTCCAGAATGCTCGGTTGTACCCAAAATTAGGTGATCATCGCTAAATTTTCCTTGTTTATACTCCGATTGATTCATGGAATTGTTGTTTTGGGGATTTGCCACCTCAAATGGATCGAGCAATGAACACATTGAACTCACTCTGGCAAGGAGCGTTCTCTCATTGGAGCATACATTTTGTGAGTCACCTAGCAAATGGTTTTCGAGGTCACCAAGTAACCCAGTGTTTGGATATCCTTGACTAGAAAAGGCAGCATTGGCATTGGCTTGTATTTGATCTTCCCTTGCTAAAACATTTTCGACATTGTTTCCTTGTTGACCCCAATGCACCATCCGTCGATTATCAAACGTGTAGCCATTAACGTTGTCATCTGTGCGTGGAAAATACATAACTGGTTATCACAAAAACATATTTGATGAAAAGAAATCAACACAAATAGTTTTTTTAAGGTTCAATTCAAAAGACTAAATTGTATACCTGACATTGGTGAATTTGAGTCCATAATACCAAAGGGTTGTCTGGTTGTTAGCTTGAAATTTTGAATCGGATGAGGAGGAACTAAAGATCTAGGGATAGTTGAAAAAGAATGTTGCAATGTGGGAGGGACTTGTGATCGACGCACAGTGAAATCAAAAGGGATGTCGGTAACCTCATAGATGTTTGAGTAGAAATAAGGAGTTTCCATCCTTGGGAAAGGTTTTTGGCTGAGTTCTAACAATCGTTTGTCGCATTGCAAAAGTTTCTCATAGTGTTTGTCAAGCGTTCTTGGAGGAAATTTGATGTAATGTCTCCTACCAAAAAAAAAAAAAAAATCAAACAAATCATTGCGTTAAATGTGCCATATGTATGTGCATACACTTGTATGTACAAGTTAAATGTGACAACTAATGTATGATAAATGAACGTTTTGTTAGTCACAATTCATTAAAATGGTAGTGCTTAAATTTCGAAAGGTAAATCTACAAGATTGTCCGCATCTGATGGAAGTAATCAAAATTTAAAGCACTACCATTTTTAGATGTGTTTGAAGATACTGACAACAGTCTGCTATGGCAAAAAACTGTTTTTAGAAATGAACTGATATTTTGCATCAGCTGACATAAAAATTGACTGAAGCCACCTGGGCCTGTTTGTTAGCAATCTCACAAACAGTTTCTTGTCTCCCAAACAGGAAGACAAGTAAAGAAACTGTTTACTCCGTTGACACCTTTGAGGAAATGCAGAATCTCACATGCCATTGTTCTTAATTCCAATTAAGACTTTGTTTATATAATATTTTATTCAAGCTAAATTTGTTATTTATTATTTTTCTAGAGTAATAGGAAGCAGTGAAAAAGGAAAGATTATTTCAAACCTGTAAATAGCAGCTTGACCTCCAGTAAAGTCCATTGCCTGTTGCCAAAGTGTATGCTTCCGTGGCTGCGGATTTGTCTCTCTGAAGAACTGAGGTTGTTGGTTTAACTGCACATAATTCACCCAAAAAATCGAATAAAAATTTCATGAAGAATTAAACGTAAATGTCATCATTTAGAAGAGTGGGAATAAAATTCACTAACCTCAATTTCCAAAATTCCCGGCTCATCATCGCGAATAATGGCTCTAATCGCTTCAATATCAGACCATTGTATTTCAATCTTACTCTTCAAAGCCCCCTCTAAAACTTCCCACACAATTTTTTTCTTGGCATAATAACACTTTGCTACCAAATTGCCTTCGTGCAAAGATTTTCTCTGCAACAATTTCAATAAATTTTAGTCATTTCTCTGTATTTCATGAATTAAGTCAAATTATTATTATTGTTTTCGTGTTTTGAGTTTGAGGGTTGCCTTTCATTCTGGAAAACAGAGAAAATGAAACCGACACACCCAAAAAAAAATTGTTTTACAAACTGTTTCTACATTCAGTAAATTTTCTTGAAAACACTCCACTTTTAGGAAATTTTTAAGTTGTTTTTTGAATTTTCAAAAACTCTAACCTTTTAATTTTTTTTTTGTTATATTGTTTTTGTTACTGAAAACACGGAAAACAAAAACAGAAAACAAAGTTATTCAAAATGAAAATGCTAGTACCAAATATTCTTACCTCCCACGAGCCAATTTTGAGCAACAATGCAGGGAAGTTTGAGGCCTTCAACTTCTCATACATCGGTTGATACACAAAATCATCCTTCTTTGCTCGACAACGTTCTTGAATCGACGATGTGTGATGTGTCCCAGTTGAGCAGTTTTTGCTCCTTGAGTGAGATAAGGTCATCTCTACCAAGTTGAGAAAAGATGGTGTCTTCTTCAATGTCAAACCAAGAGGACTTGCTTCTCCACAAGTGTGAAAATCCAATTCCTACCCACACCCCCCAAAAAAAAACTAAGTAATGGGAGGTATTGAAGCGTAATATACATATACATGCTAGCAGCGAATGCACACATAATGCGTTTGCAATTTTATATCTAAATTTTGGACAGTTTTTAAAGTGAGAAATATGAGTTGACTTTGAAAACTAATTAGAATGTGACATGTTTATTTATTTCATTGGCAATTCCATCGCTAATTTTGGAAATCAAAATTTTAAAATAAAGATTCACATCAAAATAGTTTTGTGATTTATATAATAAAATAGATACTACAAAGTTACATGCACATGTAATATATGTGTAAAAAGACAGTTGTAACCATCATCTAAAAAATTGAAGGTAGATGAAAGTGGAAAAAATCAAAATTTAAAACAAAAAAACTAGACAATTTCATATGGGAAATTTGGGCATGAGAAAATGCGTGTTATATATATATATATATATATATAAGAACAATAATTACTATGCAATGGCTGAAAACAAATGCAACAAAACCATATAAGCAATATAAACCTCACATTTTTCAGATTAAAAAGAAAAAAGAAAAAGGAAAGCAATGAATAAGAGAGGTTGAAAAGCAAAAGTGAGAGCTCATGAATGCACAATTGTGGATTGGAATGGAAAGTAAATAAATAAATTTTAAAAAAAAAAAAAAAAAACTAATTAAAGAGTGTTGCATTCATTAGAAACACTGAAATTTCAATTAAAAACTCAGAAATTTCAATTAAAAACAAAAATTTAAAAGGAAAAAAAACAAAAAAAATAATGGCTGAAGCCATATATCAAGCTTGCAAACTTTTTTTGACAAAATATTTTCGAAAACTATTTTCTGACAACACCCTGTTTGAGGAAAACACTTTTGACCATGCTTTTGTTTTCAAAAACATGAAAAACAAACAAAAACGAAATATATTGGATACGAAAACAATACCAAGCACATAAATCTCAACACTCCTACCTCACATAAACACTAAAATATTGCATATTTGCAGAAACAGAGATCAAAATGATATAATACCTGCTGATTGGACTCCGAGGAAAGTTTGATTCTCTTGAAATCAGTGCTCGGAAATCCAGAAACAACATTATTATTGGTTATTGGATCTAGTACTGAGTTATGAAATTGTTCAGAAGAATCAAAGAAACCGCCATTGAACATAGCTTCATTAGAACCAATAATAAGCTCTTGAACCATTAGGAGGAAAATAATGATTATCTAATTTCTTTCTATCTCAAAACCCAATTCATTCACACACATAAAAAAAACAAAGAAAAAAAAAACCCACTTCAAGAATCGAATTTTTTAGATTCAGTATCATGTATATATATAGCCTCACCACAGAAAGCAGTGGAATTCGGAGGTGAGAGAGTGAAGGTGATTTTGTTTGACAAAAGCCAATGAAAAAAACGAGTTTGTTTTCAAAAAGAAGTCTTTTGACTTTGAACTGCAGATGTCATCATTTGCCCCCCTGTCATTTTAGTTATATTATTTCCCATATTTTTTATATCTAAAATCTCAACTTTTAACTAATTTCTCAAATCATCCTTAAATTACACTCACTTTTGTAATTTGAAAAAAATACAGTTAATTTTATATTTTTAACATAATTAAATTAGTTTTACTTGAAATTTTAATTTACATAACAGTTAAATTCTTTTTTATTAGTAATTTATTAATTTTAATAATAAAAAATAATGTTATGATCTCTTTTAATGTTTACTCATCATTTGGCTTAATTTTGGTTACTTTAATCACACTAAAAAAATTATTAAAAAAAATATATTACTAAAAAGGAAGTCAGTATAATTATGTCAAAAGTGTGAGATTAATTATATTTGTAATTTATCCTAAAATTATATATTCTTTTTATTAAGATAATACAATACAGATAGTGGGTAAGTACTGAGATAAATAAACATAAATATACATTATAATAAAAAAAAAATTACAATACAATTTTTTCATTCATACGAACTAAAAAGGAAGTCAATATAATTATATTAAAAGCGTGAGATTAATTATATTTGTAATTTATCCTAAAATTATATATTCTTTTTATTAAGATAATACAATACAGATAGTGGGTAAGTACTGAGATAAATAAACATAAATATACATTATAATAAAAAAAAATTACAATACAATTTTTTCATTCATACGACTTACAAATTATTGATGAGAGAGAACCTAGCTATCAGGTGAATTAAAATCTTAGAAGAAATTGGTGTAATTATATCAAAAATATGAAACTAGTTATATTTTTTTCAAACCTTAAGTTACCCTAATTAAATTTAGTTTGGTGGTCTCTCTAATTTGGCGGCAAAAAGAACATACAATTGGAATATTTATTCGGATTTTGCTAGATTTGGTTGTTAGGAAAAAAAAAACAGATTTTTGTTTAATTTTTACCTTTTATTATGTGAGCGAGATTCATTAATGAACTTACCCAAGAAAAAGATTCATTAATGAACTGTTATAGCTTCCAGAAAATAAATAGGAAATAGATCTTGTTTGGTAGATTGTGTTTACTTTTTCTTTTTTTTTTTTTTTGGAACTTTGTACTTTGCTGCAGTTTTTTTTAATAAATAAATTAAAAAAATTACTCATTGAAAAAATTTTAAAAATGCTTTTAGATTCTATTTTTTTAACACCCTAATTATTAACTTTTAATAAACTGTTCTAATGAAATCATAGTTGTAGTGTTACCAAATTAAAAAGACATGATCAAAACAAGAAAAAAAAAGCGATACTCATGGTCATTTCTTAATTAGTAATTTGCTATTACACAAAATGTCAACAAAATAAAAATAACAAAGTACAAAAAAAAATTTAAAAAGTATGAAAATGCTTAATCTATGACATCTAAGAACATTTTGAACTTAAATTAGACATTTTAAATATTCTGATTAATTGAACCAACTAGTAACTATTATTTAGCCTTTCTTTTTAATAACAAGGCATCTAGTTTAGTTTGTGCGCATTTTAACTAATCCTGAAACCCTAAAATCAATGGCTTGACAAACTTTAATTGGGATGACTCAAACTCGAAACCTTAAAAGTTAATTGGTTGAATTTGACAAATAATTGTTATTACTGTTTTGAGTATGAAAGCCTTGAAATAATGCAATATTTTGATTAGAAATTAATGCTAAAATGAACCAAATCTTCCAACCATTACCACATCAGATTTTATTTTCAGGATCACATATTCATGTAAGACATTTAGTCATTCATTTAGTAAAAAATTTAGGACCTATAGCATTTTCCTTTTATCTTCCACTGCTTTTTATGAGACCATTAATTGATATGCATTTAGCAAAAAACCATTTACCAGGTTTGGTTTCAAAAAATTGAGTATACTTTTCAAAAAATTGAGTTTTTATTTTTTTGTATTATTTTGTTTTCAGTGATCTTTCTTTAATATTTTGCACAATTTTTTTATTTTTTAGACATACCTAATGTAAATACGCTTAAAAATATAATATTTTTATAAAAAAAAACTTTAAAAATTCAATAAATACAAAAAAAAAATAAAAAAAATAAAAATTCAATATGTTTTTGTATTTGGTTGTATAGATTTTCTTACTTTTTAAGTGTATTAAGATTAAGTGCATTAAAAATTATAAAAAAAAAATTGATTAAAATATTTTAAAAAGTCATTAAAAATATAAAAATACAAATTAAAATTTTTAAAAATTAAAAACCAAACAGTGTGAATTATTATTTTATCCATGATAGGGATGATAACATGAGATGCCTTCTATTAGCTGAGGCATTTTATTGTAAACTAAGCCTTCTCATCATCGCCATAGATATTATCATTTATAGCTTTATCATGCCATTTTTTTAAAAAAAAAAAAATTATTTTATAACTTGAACTGTGTTCTCAGTATTTTTTGAGCTCATTTTAAAAGCGTAAAATTGAGAATAAAATGACATCTCTATTCACATAATTCAGGCTATAATGAGAGGGATTTACTAAAGTCGACATAAGTTAGGCATATGAAAACAGACCAATGACCAATTAGGTTACCTCTTCGCAAGTTATCATTTCTTGCTTTATCATTCTTTTTATGTATATATATGTTCAATGAATCTTCTTTTTCTTTTCACAACTGTTAAACTACCTATTCACTTTGAAGTTTATGTCATCGCCAAAAGGCTTTTATGTTTGGTTTGATTTTTAAAAATTTATTTCAGAATTTTTTTAAAAAAAAATTAGAAAAAAAATTAAAAACATCTATTATTTTTATATAATTTTATCTTTTGGGAGATCATAAATATTTTTTAAAAAATTAAAAATACCTTTTTAATATTTATTTTTATCAAATTAGTTTTCATTTTTTCAAAAAAAAATTAAATTTTTTTTTTTCTGAAAACAAAATGAACAAGGCCCTACACTCCATTATCTTGTTTTAGTGTCATGTAATTATCAGATCCTTTGCTATTAGTTGGACACATCATTGATATAAAATTTTCAGAAGACAAAATAATCTATATATATAAGGAGAAGGGTCTTTTTAATTCACAAACCTTGTGAGAGCTCCAAAATGACACGAGCTCCAAAATGAACAAGGCCCTACACTCCATTATCTTGTTTTAGTGTCATGTAATTATCAGATCCTTTGTTATTAGTTGGACACATCATTGATATGAAATTTTCAGAAGACAAAATAATCTATATATATAAGGAGAAGGGACTTTTTAATTCACAAACCTTGTGAGAGCTCCATTATTTCAATCTTAATTTCTTAATTTTTTTATTTTAAAAAAAAAATCCCGTATTACCCTAAACCCTACTATCCATTAAATTTCTGTATAACCCTAAATCCTATTACCCATTAATACCTACTAACCTAAACCTTACCACAACACACAGTAACCTAAAGAAAAAATTTGGGCGAGAGAGAGAGAGTTCACATAAAGTAAGACAGAATCTTGGAGCCTTCTTATCACAGCGGTAGCAGCTTTGGGATAGAATTTTGGAAGAAAAACATTCAAAAGTCGGTAAGTAAATTATTTATTTTTTAATATAGTGATTTTATTTTTAAATTGATTAAGAATGATTGTATTTATTAAATTCACATAAAATATTAATTATTGATGATGCTAGATTGTATTTTGTGATTGTGATTAAAACTTTGTTTATTTTTCAACATTTTATTTTTAATCTATGTTTTTTGGAAAAAAAAATTAGATTGTATTCATTAGGTTCACATAAAGTACGCACTATTGATGATAATGATTAGATTATTTTTTGTAATTGGGTTTTTTAACTCACTATATTTTTCATTAAAAAAAAAATGGTTGTGCTTAATTTGTGATTGGATTTTTAACTCACTATGCTTTTTGATAAAAAAAAATAATTGTATTTTTTAATTATCAAGTGACTTCATTGCTTTTTTTTTTGCTTTTTTTTTTTATGAGAAAAATTGTGATTGTGTTTTTTTACACTCCATTTTGATTACACGGTGATTTTATTTTTTTAAAATAATTATGTTTTTTTGCACTCCATTTAATACGTGTTTTTAAAAAAAAAAAATAGATTCTATTCATGTTTTTTTAATACAATCACACTTATTGTATTTCTAGTCTATATTTTTAAAAAAAAAATAGATTGCATTTATTAAATTCACATAAAGTAGTCATTGTAATTTTATTTTTTTTTAAATGGTGTGCTTTTTAACTATCAATTAACTTAATCTGTATTTTTTTTTTAAAAAAAATAATAATTTTATTTTTTAATTACCAATTGACTTCATTATTTTTCAATACGGTGATTGTATTTTTACACTCTGCTTGATTGATGATGATTGGATAGTATTTTGTGATTGTGATTGGACTTAATTTATTTTTCAATACAGTGGTTGTATTTTTAATCTATGCTTTTTTGAAAGAAAAAAAAATTGAATTGTATTCATTAGGCTCACATAAACTACGCAAGGTGATTTTATTTTTTCAAATGATTATGTTTTTTTACACTCCATTTAATATGTGTTTTTTGAAGGGGAAAAAAAAAAGAGAGAGATTATATTCATATTTTTTTTGAATACAATCGCACGGTAATTGTATTTTTAGTTTATGTTTTTTTTTTAAAAAAAAATTATATTTATTAGATTCACATAAAGTAGTCACTGTTTTTTTTTTAAAAAAAAAAGGTTGTGCTTTTCAACTATCAATTAACTTAATTTGTATGTTTTTTTTTTAAAATAATTTTATTTTTTAATTACCAATTGACTTTATTGTATTTCAATACGGTAATTGTATTTTTACACTCTGTTTGATTGATGATGATTGGATAGTATTTTGTGATTGTAATTGGACTTAATTTATTTTTCAATATGGTGATTATTTTTTTAATCTATGTTTTTTGAAAAAAAAAAAATAGATTATATTCATTAGGCTCACATAAATTATGCACTATTGATGATGATAATTAGATTATATTTTGTAATTAGATTTTTTAATTCACTGTATTTTTTAAAAAAAATAGTTGTGCTTTTTAACTATTAATTAGCTTAATTTTTTATTGGGTTTTTAACTCATTATGTTTTTTGAAAAAGAAAATTAATTATATTTTTTAATTATCAATTGACTTCATTGTTTTTTTTTTAATTAGCTTAATTTGTGATTGTGTTTTTTTACACTTCATTTTGATCACACGGTGATTTTTTTTATTTTTAATGATTGTGTTTTTCTACATTCCATTTAATCTGTGTTTTCTGAAGAAAAAAAAAATTGTATTCATGTTTTTTGAATACAATCACACGGTGATTGTATTTTTAATTTATGCTTTTGAAGAAAAAAAATTAGATTGTATTTATTAGGTTCACATAAATAATTTTTTGAAATTCAATCACGTGCATAGTACTGGTAGTATGCTAGTTACTCTAAATAAAAAGGGAGGAGGAGAGAGAGAGAGGGGGGAGTAGGATGTATTTCTAATTTTTTTAATTTATATTTACTTAGCACATATTCTAGCTTTATTATTAGGTTACATTTGTTTGGCGGATTAAGTTGAATAAGATTATGAGTGTGGTGGGATTGAATAAGGAAATTAGTAATATAGTGGTATTAAGTTAGAAATATAAGATAAAGTATGTTTATTTGTGTAGTAGTAGAGAAATTCTATTTTCATACACTAGTTCCTCTCTTTCCACATCTTTTCTCAATACACAGACTAAATAAATTTAAATTATCAACTTTAACTTAATACACATCCTACCATACCAAAAATACCCTTACCATTTTCATCCTCCAAACCCTAACCCTAATAAGCCACAGTCGTTGTTGCTGGCGGTAACTGCGGCACCTCTTTCCTCCCTTTCACTTCCAGTCGTTACCCCCACCCCTCCCTCCACTCATCGACACCACTTCCGCGACCTCCATATGTTTAACAATTTCATTCTTGTAGTAATTCAATATGTTTAACAATGTGATAGATCGTGTTGAAACTAGAAATTTATACAGGCTGTTAAGCATTTTTAAAGACTAATTTGCCATTTGGGTTGGTTGGTTGGGATGAAAGGTATTCAATTTGTGGCTATGTGACACACTGTGTTATCATGTATCATAGAGGATTAAAGATTCTTGAAAATCATTTAATTTGCCTATCAATGATACTTGTAAAATTGTGTATGCAGAGAGTACACGTTGATAGTAAAGAATCTGATTGCTTCGATGAGGAGATCAAAAGTTCGCCTGGTTGTAAGCAAGAGTTGGACAGTGATGATATGAGTTCATTTTTTTTATAGCAGAAGTATTTACACAACTTGACTGAGCGTGCTCTTCGGAAGAACCAGCCCTACATTATATTGAATCTGATGCATGAGAAGTCGTCATTGTTGATGACCGAAGAGCTCATTGGTACATCAAAACTTGAAGGCGAAGGGAGATCGTAGTGGTGCGCCGATCTTTTTCTCAGGCAAAAGGGGGTCACAGTGGTAGGGAAGAGGCGACGGGAAGAGTAGAGGAGAGGAAAGGTGGCCACCATGGATGATGATGGTGGAAACTGATGGTTTGAGAGAGTTAGAGTTAGAGTTTTGAGAAAGGGATATTTTAGTAATTTAATTTTAAGAAAAAAATGTAATAAAAAAAAATCATTAAGTGTGTGGAAAGAGAGGAAGTAGTGTGTGGAAATTGAATTACCGTAGTAGTGTGGTGGTATTAATTGATTGGGATTAAACTCGTAAAATTACATAATTACCCTTCTATGTACATCATTAAAACGAAGGGACAAAATAGTCTTTTTACTATTAATCCCATGGGATTAATTCTCAATCCCACAGAAAATTTTATTTCCACATATCTACTTACCTCAGTGTACATCATTTCTCAGTGCATACACTTAGTAATTTGATTATTAATAATTGTTCTCATTTCAAACACCAAATATTCCAATCATACCCTTAACTCATATCCTTGTACACACAGCACCTCAACCCTTTTTCCACACACATGTTCAAAAGTGTAAAGGAATGGTTTCGACCCTATTTCGGTTCAACACATAGTAAAGAGAAAATCCATTGAAGGGACCTTCTATCGAAGACCCAAAGACCTTCCATTGAAGACCCTTCTGCTCTATTCGACACTTGAGGTTCGAAATCTCTTGAAGGTGACTATTACTTAGTTTCGATTTCGTTATCGCGCTTCATATCATTTCATTTTCTTCGTGGAGTGCATTGACAACCTACAATAAACCCTCGTGTTTTCCTTGAAGAGTTGCGATTTTGGGCCTTTGGTACTGGTTTTCTGAAATTGTTTTGTTCATTCAACACTTGAGTTTCGAAATAAAATGCTCCATTTGATGTTGAGTTCCGAAATAAAATGATCCATTCAACACTTGAGATTTGATTTTTTTACAATATTTCGATACTATTGTACCGAATATGGTACATGTTTTCGGCATTTGATCTTCGATTAAAAGGTATAATTTTGGCTCTGAAAGGCCGAATGATTTTTTTTTTCTTTATTCTTTTCTTATGAATCAGATGAAGTTGCTATTTGTATGCTGAATTGGTTAAATTGGACCCTAAACTACTATATTATATTTGTTTTCATTTGTAGAGAAATATTCATTAAGTCTATACATATCAAACAAACATTCCTAATGGTTGAACCTTGACTCATATCGATGTGAAATTTCATCTAGTTGCTTCTTCTTCTCCTTTTTTTTTTTTTTTTCTGTGAATCTCTAAATTTTTATTCTGTAGGCAACTAGTCTTCTTGGTAAACTTCAAATCTTCAATCCTAAATAATAGAGAACGTGTTAGTTTTTGTCTATTGTTAGCAAGCTTCTTCTATCTCATTCTTGGCAATCTTCTTCTCCAACTTGACAAACCACCTTCACCAAACCAACCATACAAAACTTCTTATCACTTCCAACCTTCCAAGAACTGGATGAGTGGTATGTATATATTATCTTTTTTCACTAACTTTTCTCTAAAAGAATTTAAATGCAATATGCTTGGTTCGTAATTCTTATATCAAATGGACAAGCATGTTGCCAAACAAGGTAAAAAACACTAATATGAATTAAATGGCACGTCGCGTGAAATTGGTGGGATGTTGGACCCTGCTGAATTTTAGGCCAATTTTATCGTTTAGGTCATCAATTTTGACATTTTATTGTTTTTGAAAAGTTTTTGCAACTTCTATTACTCCTAGGATATAAGTTATTACTATATAGGTTGATAACTACAATTTGACAGTTTCATTGTATTTTTATTAGAGTGTTTTCACAATAAATGCTCTATTGGGTTGATGAGAACTATTTTCATTATGCAGATGGATGCCGGTCCCAGTCAACGTCAATCAGTAATAGCTTCGAACAGAAGATTCCGTGAATTAGAGAATGTTGAACGTGAATGTGAATGTGGATACGGACGTGGATGTGCTCGAGTGCATAATGATGATGCAGACATTGCTATGGATGATGATCTTATACATGATGCACCAGTTATGAAAAATATTGCTATGAAGGATGACCCTATTGGTGATGATGCTGGTATATTTATGAAGATATCTTTACTAAGCCATTTTCGGGAGGGCTAACTAATCCATCAATTCGTAAAACTTTTAAAAGTCATATTGCCTCAGCTATTTGGAATAGTCTTGAAGAAATGGGGGCCTTGAAGTGTTATAGTCACTCGAGTAAGATTTGTTCGTGGGCGTGGTGGGAACACGGCAAAAAAGCTACATTTGTAAACATTGTAAAGATGTCAGGACTTGCATACTTAGTTCGTTGCACGTACCGCTTCGTCAACAAGATTATTGTGTCTAGAGAGATGGCAACCAAAGACAAATATCTTCCATTTGATTATAGAGAAATGACCATCATGTTAGACGATGTCGCCACTATCCTAGAGCTTCCCATTGTAGGCAAATATATTGGTGTGCATAAGTTGTCAGAAAGGCAGGCCATTGCATTAGTAGTTAATAACTTAGGAATTGATGAGCAAGAGGTGAGACATGAGATATCTAGTGTAGGGGAAAATTCAGTGATGCTTGAGTGGTTGAGGGAAAACTTTCATAATGTTACATACGATGATTCAGTGGAAAGAATTACATGTGTAGGTAGAGCATACTTGTTATTTTTGTTGGGTTCTACACTTTTTAGTGACAAGACTGATACTAGAGTCCCCGTTGTTTATTTGAGTTTGTTGTCCGACTTGACAACTGTACATTCATATGCTTGGGTTGTTGCTGCATTGGCATACTTATACAGACAGTTGGGGTACGCTAGCAAATCCAGTGTGAAACAAATAACCGGTTACATGACACTCCTTAAGGGTTGGATTTTTGAGTATTTTCGTGGATTCTGATCACACCTCAATATAAATTATTCTCAAGACATGCCACACATTTACTTTTGGACTTCTCAAAGAGAGTCTGGGAAGAGACACAATTGTAGGCTTTTCGAGAAGAGCTTGATAGATTGGGTATACATGATGTAAGTTAAAAAGTCTTTCAAAGTTGAAACTCCATATAATAAAAAATTTGTAAGTTATATCTGACAATTGTTATTTTTGTAAGTTATTTGGGACACTTATCAGAGCTGCAAAGATGTCCATCCGTGTCACCCAGTTATGTTCTACAACGGTTGCCTAAAGTGTTTGGAAGTAGTTAAACAATGTCACCTTCATAAAGTTTTGAGACAGTTTGGCAAAGTGCACACAATACCAATTCCACCACTTGGCCCTATGCGTGTATCTCGAAGAGCCATAGCTCCACCCAACAATGTTATGTATACAAATCTGGATATCATTTAAGAGGCATAGGACAACCATGTGTTATCTGAGAGGAGGAGGAGTACACCGATACGACAGCCTTGGGATTGTGTTCCTAGTTACATGGATTGGTACCAAACTATTACCCATATGTATGTTCAAAACCCAGAGCGTCATTCTCAAGTGGACTCAAATATTCGTTATTATCAGTATCCTAGTCAAGACATACAGGTATCATCGTTTTTCATTTACTACAAATGATTTATGTAAAATGTTATAGGTTTGTATATAATGTTTTACTTGTTCTTATAATATAGTGTATGTCACATATTTATCAAATTACTCATCCTTTTGTTAAGGATGACTATAAGGACAGTGTTCAATATCTTGGTAGGATTTACTATGCAATTGATGCAATTGAACTTGTTCTTTAAAATCAGCACATTGGTGAAGCTACGCCCAGCACATCCGCTCAGGGTCGGTCTTCACTTAGCTCTTCTACTCAGGGTCGTTTTGGAGCACATTACACTTGCCGGTTATGTAGTTGATAGTATTGTCAAGAAGACGTGATATTTTGAAATATTTTGTATTTTGTGATGGCATTTGTGGATTGAATAGTACTCAAATATTATTATTACTCTTTGGAATATGTATTCGATTACGACTTTGGTGGATTTAATAGTAAGTGAATATGTTTGCAATTCTTAGATGATGTACAATGGGACATGTATTTTGTGATGATATTGGTGAATTGAACTGTTGGTTAACATTATTATTGCTTTGTGGATACTTATTGATTAATATTATTACTTTTTGACAATAATTACACTTGGTTGGATAACATAATACTTGTTGACTAACAGTAGTGAAAACTATCATTACATTTTGTGTTCAAATAAGCGAAATAATATGATAACCATTCCATAAACAAGACCACTATAACTCATATTCATTCGATCAAAAAAAGGCCATTAGCCGACAAAATGATACAGTAAGATGATGACATCCATTTCATAAATTCGTGCTACTATAAATCAAAATAAAAAATCACAAAAAGTAATATCTTAAATCTTTTAAATATCTGAGAACTACTCCCTAATACATCAATTAATGTTAACTATATCAAATGTCTCTTGAGTAACTACGTTAGGTCTTATGTTGTCTTTGAAGTTCTAAATGTGGCTAACATATACATTCTCCCATTCTGATGTACAAGGGTGACGGTGAACTCGCCGATACACAACAATAGAAACTGGATAACCGTGCTCCAAAAATACCTACATGAAATATCTAATGAGAATTCAACCAACTTAGTATAATCAAAATAAAAACTACATATATTTAGCAAATTCATCAAATTTTCAATTACAAAATTATTAAACTACAATGATAGGTAATTTCATAGGTTATACCTGCAAAAAATGATTTCCATTGACAAATCCAATAGCAATCTCACGATGATCAACTAGGGTTATGGGCGGTGATCTCAAAGGTAAGAAACCGAGATATTGTTGCAATGACAAGCAGTGTAAGACTACATTATAAAATAATGCAATAAGATGCCCCATGTTGGGCATAGTCATTCAATGATCAAAGCCTAGGTTGTCTTCAAAGTATGGCTGGATGTGTGTCAGTTCCTCAACCTTCTCATGTAACCTTTCTCGTACGACATATTCACATTTGTGGTTATGCAACTTGTGTAGCAGATCACGCCTAACTTGAACCCAATCATTCTCTCCAAAACCATGTAAATCCGCAATAACTCTAAAATCAAAATTCCTATCACCATCTACATAGGCGTGAAGTCACCAACATATGCACTTGGTAAACTTGTTCTAGAACGATATGTCTTTGTCTTCACATTCTACTTCTTCTTATTTTTCGTTGAAGCTTGCTTTTTCTTTGATTGACTTGAAGGCAAGGTGCTCTGTGTATCCCTAGCTGAGTAGCTATCATACCCATTTTCAACCAACTCAAATGCACACGCGTCACGACGACAAGATATATCAACTTTCTTATATCCTTGACATGGATTAGGCTTAACATCAAGCTCAATACGGAAAGTGCTTGCTGGGTTTGCAATTTCCTTCAACTTCTTCAACATATCCAATTACATGGCAATATCAGACTCATTGAACCACTTCAAAATCAATTCAAGTTCTGGGATACAAGTCAATACCAATTTGTCAATCATAGGATTGTGTACACATATATTAAGTCGTGTCTAGTGTGCATATATGCTACTGAATGGAATAGGATGCCCTTGTCTCATGTATGAGTACAAGGTAAACCATGCGTGCGCCTAATAACACACCCACATGCTGCAGCATTAATACCAATTGAATTTGCTCTCATGCTCTCTGCTAACGCGTACTCCAATGCACAAATAGACATGCTATCTCGAAGCTCTCTGAAATAAGAAGGTTTGAATTGATGTTGTACAACAGCCAAACTCTTCTAGAATGATGCTTTTACGTGAACGTGTTGCAACTCAAGTAGACAATGTATTTTTTCAAATGATACCTCAAAAGTCATTTGATTTGAATCTAATTGCCTCTTCAATTTAGCATGAGCACTCTTAGCCCTCTTCATATGGATGTAAAGAAAAAATAGTCAAGTATAATAATTAAAAAAAAAACAATATGACTTAAAAGAAAATGAAAAAAAAAATTACCGATTGGTTGTAACATTGTCGAAATGCATACACTTGTCTGTATGTATCGAAACAAATTTTTCTTTATACAGATTCAACTAACTCTTAGTAACATACTTGATTGCCTCAGAATAGTTACTAAAATCCTTATACAGTATAGCAAGGTGATTAGTGTATTTCTCTTCAGTCGATGACAATACTAAATAGTTTCATGCGATGTTAAACTTTTCCCATTTTTCTTTTGTCTCAAACATTTTCTTACATTTCGCCAATACATTCTTACTAATATACCAACGACATACAAATGTCGAGAATTCAGAAAGGTCTTCTTAATGGCATTAATCAAGGCTAGCTCTCTATCCGTGACAATGACTTCAGGTAAAATATTGTTGTCCAGAACATCACACAATGTTTGTAACGCCCATGCATAGTTATGAACCCACTCAATTTTCTAGTACATAAAAGCCACAGAGAATGTCATGTCAGTTGATGTCACTTCCACAATTTCAAGAAGAGGAAGACAATATCTATTTGTCTTATATGTGCAATATATTATCAACACATAAGGAAATGTACGAAGCAAATCCAAGCTGACTGGATGTGTCCAAAACAAGTCTGTGATAGTCATAGTGCCTTACTCATATCGATGACATTCAATGTACTTATGCTTTGCAAACATATTAAGGGCATCCCTTTATATGAGTGCAATTAATATCTCTTTTGGTCTTTACAAGACTCTTTGACATATCCACTAACAATGACTTCTCATTAGCTGATAATCTCCTTACATATAAATGTCGTTGGAGATGCTATGTAGTTGGATGATTATGCAGTCTACAAACTACACTCAATGTCCATTAATCGTTTGTTTTTAACTTATATGCCCTCAAATCAAATGGACATTCACACTTCTTCGTACAAGTCTATCTCAACAAGTCTTTCGAGCTATCTTTCAGCTTGTTATGTGATCTATACTTGCCACTCCTCTCACAAGCAAGATAAATCCTCGTTCTCTTACGACCACCACCATTATCTAACGTCTTTATAATAATAACAAAGCCATTAGCACTTCTAATATCACGTACCCAAGTCAGCAATTCATCCTTGTTGTCGAAAACTTGTATATAATGTTACACAACTTTTATAAGAACAAACTAACAAAAAAAAAATTATTAAGTTATGAAATTATTGTTAAAGGTTACCTATTTAGCTGTAAAATGACTAGTACAATCCACCATCGTATGAGATCGAAACTCAATTTCTTAAGTGCATGCAATCTAAAGAGGAAAAAAAAAAATTTCATTTTGCACTTCAAAGCCGAGTAGAACATATATGTTCGGCACTTTATAGCTGGAAGAAACAAAAATATCGGTAGTCTAAAACCAAATATTTTTCATACTTTTGGAAGTTTATTGTCGAATAAGAGTTATAAAATCGTTAGCTGTAAAATGACTAGTACAATCCACCATCGTATGAGATCGAAACTCAATTTCTTAAGTGCATGCAATCTAAAGAGGAAAAAAAAAAATTTCATTTTGCACTTCAAAGCCGAGTAGAACATATATGTTCGGCACCTTATTGCTGAAAGAAACAAAAATATCGGTAGTCTAAAACCAAATATTTTTCATACTTTCGGAAGTTTATTGTCGAATAAAAGTTATAAAATCGATAGTTGATTTTCGAATATAGTTATTAGTATCGGAATTTGAAAAAAAAAAAAAAAGAAGAAGAGAGAGAGCAAAATATTTTGGCATTGGTTTGTCAAATTAAAATCGCGAACGAAAAAAAAAATTAAACTTATGCACAAAAAAACTAATCTTTTCATCACTGTTTTTGCTGTCACCGCACATATTTATATTTGAATTTGAACTTCCATTGGTTTGCAACTCTTCCATCATAAAATCAAAAATAATTATGGATTCTTATTAGAAAACGATATAAA